GAACGCTTCTAGATCCCAGTGCTGAGCATGTCACAACTATGCCCAGAACCTTCAGCAGCTCCCCATTACAGCGGCTCCCCATTACCTACCGGATAAGGAAGGCCAGACCTGTTAGTCTGGCATCTGAGATTCTTTGTAGTTCTCACTCTGTTACTATCATGGACTAATTCATACCGGCCCTATTGTACCCAATTGTATTCTATTCTATCAATAATGAAATGCCAAAGTTGCTTTGCAGGGACAATGAGCAAAAAACCCTGCAAAGTCATGTAGCTGGAGCATGCTCAGAAGATGGAAACCTTGTCCTCAGATGACCTCAAGCCACCTAGGAACCAAAAGTCCCCAAACTACGGAACTCAATGAGAAGAGAAAGCAGAATGGGGAACCGAATAAGAAGCAAGGGGCCCCTTGATTTGTGGCACACCAGACTTATAAGACTGTTACACTCCCAACCCTCCAACCAGATTCCACCAAGCTAGCACTTTGCATAACCACTCCCACTCCCAACTCCTTAAAAGTCTGTCCCTGCTTCAGCTCAGGGAGACAGATTTGAGCCTTGCCTCTTGTCTCCTTGCTGTTCAACCATGCAATAAAGCTCTTTCTTCCCTCAAAAGCCGATGCTGCAGTGCTGGCTTCTGTGCACATCAGGCAGCAAGCCCTTTCTCAGTAACAACTCCAGCCTCATCTCCCCACCACAGGGAACCTGACAGTCTAGTCAACTCAGCAATTTTCCACTCCTCAAATAGGCCTCAAGCTTTCCTGTCACCTCCCACTCACTCATCCTCAATCAGGTTTGAATCCCCTCCTTTTCCTCTTGTCTGATCCAACTGTGAAGTCCAGCTCAAATGCTGAGTTTTTGTGAAATCACTGGTGTTTTCTTTGAATTTTCCCCAAAACTTCAATTGTAGCAATCTTGTAGTTCACAATACAATCAGCTTTGATTAGCGTCATAAGTTTCAAGACAGTCAATAGTATATTAATGTGCTACATATTGAAGGACTGCAAACAGCCTTGAATATCAAACTGTCCTGTTCATCTCTGTATTGTTCCTAAGTGCCTAATACAATGCTTTATATATAAAAAGCATTTAGTAAATGTCTGTTGAATAACATTTAGCCCTCCTTCACACAAATTCTTAAGCCAGTGACAGTCAATTTTCTTTTTTTTCTTCCTTACATCCTGGACCTTTCTTCTAATGAAATCTTAGATGGAATCCCAATATATGTTTTATACAGAGATTTTATATATGTTTATATACAGAGTAAACATATAAGTGACATCTCATTTTATATGCATTTTTTTATTAAAATTTAGAGCATTTTTTTTCCCCGCAAGGGAAGATTTGCCCTAAGCTAACATCTGCTGCCAATCTTCCTCCTTTTTCTTCTTTCCCCAACCCTCAAAGTCCCGGTACATAGTTGTGTATAGTTGTAAATTCTTCTAGCTCTTCTATGTGAGCCACAGCACGGCTACTGACAGATGAGTGGTGTGGTTCTGCACCTGGGAACCAAACCTGGGCTGCCAAAGTGGAGCATGCCCAACTTTAACCGCTAAGCCATAAGGGCTAGCTCAGCATTCTTATTATTAAGTGAACTACCGAGAACAGTAGGCAATTTCAATGATTATAAAATGTGAAGTAGAGTGTTAGGAGTGGCCATTTGCAGTCAGTCATTTCTGTATCCAGCTCATTTCTGTATTTTAACTTGGTTTCACATGACCGAGAAAATTCTTATTCACATAGGTAAGTCATAGTGTGCAATTTTATGTGAGTGGACATTGGCAAGGTAACGAATTTTGTTTTCTTTAAAGCTCAGATACAACCTGCTATATCAGAGACACATTAGAAAGCCACACATGGCAATTAAGAACGTAGACTCTGATTTAAATCCTGGCTCTCCTATTTAACAGTGCAGACTTTAAGCAAGTTATTCAGCCTCAGTTTCCACAACTATAAAGTGGAAATAATAATAGTTTTTCCCTCATCAGGTTGTGCAAGAACAAGATAGGTCACACAAATTAATGACTCAATGCTCTTTGGTGTGTTACAATGTAGTACAGGTCACATCAGAGTGCACAGTTTTAATCTTCTATCATGTACTGATCAGTAACTAAAACATTTATAAGATATGTGTAAAGTATAAACAATAGCAATCTATCCACCCAGTTTAAGAAAGAGAAAGTGAGGATTACTTTTGCTAATGTGTGTGCCCCTCCTTGAGCCCATTCCCTTCCCTCCTCCAGGAGGTCACTGTTACATTTTCTATATTTTATTTTTAAATTTTTTTAGCTCTTACCCTATTACTATGTGACAGGCTCTGTTCTCAGTGCTTTCCAAAATTTACTACATCTAACTTTCATAGCAACCCCATGAAGTGGATAAGACTAGTGTCTGCATCTTACACACGAGGACACAGGGAGGTAGGTGCAGTAGCATGCTCACAGACACAGTTTGTAAGTCGAGCCATCAGGATTTGAACTCAAGCAGTGTTTACCAACACATCTAGGCTTGAAACACAGTTTGAAGGGCATTCTCACGCTTCATACTTGAATGAACACTTATTGAACATTCATCATGTGCCAGGCACCATGCTAGGCACTGCAGAGCTTAAGGAAAAGCTTCTTTCTTGCCAGCAACAGGTAGTTCCAGGACATCAGGTTCTTCCCACTGCTGCTGTCTCCAACTCCAGCCACTCACCCTGCAGGCCCTAGCCAGGACAGCCTGTAAGACCCGGGGAGCCCTGTGTGGCCTTGAGGAAAGGCAAGCAGGCCCAGACACTCCACCTTGGTATTGCCCAGGGTGGTTCTCAGCAACAATCAATCCCAAGGAACTACGGGAAATTCCAAACTTCTCTGCCCCCACTCACAGCCTCTTCCTCATCAAGGCTTCCTCCGAGAAACAAACCACGTAGGAATCCGCAGGAATCCACTGCCTTTGCCAGCAAGCACGCCAGTTGCAGCCTCATGGCCCAGCCCACAAGGAAGGGCCTCGACTTCAGCTCTTGTCACTCCCCTAATTCTTCCCTGTGCCTGGAGTCCAACAATAACAGAGCAGCTCCCACCAGGAACCTCGGAACCTCACGCAAGCAGCCAAGCACAGGAAGTGCTAAAGGGTCAGGGGGTTCGTGCGGCCAGCAGTCCCACGCCTCTCGGGGAGAATCCCAGTCAGTCTCTAGTCCAAAATCCAGAAAACTGCCTGAGGCCCCCACTGTCTCCAGGGCCTACTTCTGGGGTTGGCCTGGGTCGCTATGGGTGGGGTCCCAAGAAGGGCCAGCAGGTTGGACAGCAGCTGTACCCAAGCCACCGGGGGGACAGGCAAGGGTGGTGGCCAGGAGACTAAAGATGTTTCCTTGATGGGCCCACTCACTTAGCAAGCGCTCCCATGGCTATGCTCTACACTGCAGACTGGTTTCAGCACTTACTGAACACCAGTCCTGCTAGAGGCCGCGAGTGGGCTGTGGTTCTAGGAGGCCTCTTCTGTTATTGAGGTGGGGGCAGGCAATAATCCAATTCATAATTTCAGATCGTGGTTAGTGCTCCGAAGAAAATAAAATACCGTTGTTGCACGAGGGTGGGCAGGATATTTGAGGTGACATCTGACTAAGGAGGAGCTAGCTAGCCAAGCAAAGGCAAAGGCAGAGCATTCTGGCCCAGGGAACAGAAGTGCAAGACCCTGAGGCTCTGATCCAGTGCTGATTAGGGGTTAAGACATGTTTGCTGAAAAATTAATGTTCTCAAAATTCTAGTACAAGGCAGAGCTTGGTTACTTTCTTAAGGTGTAAAGATCAAAGTGCTATGTAGGAAAGAAATGTGTCGTGGGCTTCAAACGAAGACGCAGAAAGGATGTGCCAAATACGTGTTCACAGTTGCGGTCTCTCGAGCGTCTCTGTAAAGGCCGTTCATGCCCTTGTCCTCGAACTCGACAATACAGGCTGAACGCAGGCCTGATCCGTCACTCAGCGCGTGTCCCGGGAAGCCGCCTTCTCAGAGCCCAGGACCACCCCGCTCTGCGGGCGCCTCACCTCGCTGGTTCGAGCGCGCGATGAACGCGCACCTCCAGCGGCGACTGCGCAGAAACATGTGCGCGCTGGACGCTGGACGAAGGCGGAGCGCGGGCCTTCCACGCTCCTTCTTCGTTATTAAAGCCGGGAAGGAGCCGCGTTGCTCTCAGCGTCGATGGCCCGTTTGCGACTCCATTCCCGCTTTCTAACCTCGCCGGCACCGCCTCCGCCCGAGCTACGACCGAGGCTGGTGGGCCTTGCACGACGTGTTGTGCCCACGGACGAGCCCGCCTTCCTGCTCTCGAGGACGCGGTTGCTTGGGGACGCCTCAGGGCCGCCACCTTTCTCCCGAGGGCTCGTCACAGCCAGGCCGGGGGCCTCCCAGACGGAGCCGCCTCGCTCGCGCCAAGCGCCCTTCCCGGGTGACCTCAGGGCTCCGAGCTGGGCGAGGCGGGAGCCGGCCGTCGTCTCACCCGGTGCGGGCGGGCTTGTCCCCACAGCCGCTGGGGAGGGGACGCTGCGGCGCCCCCACCACCGCGCCCCCACCACCGCGAAGGGACACCGCAGCCGTGAGGGGGATACCACCACCATGAAAGGGCATCGCCGCCGTGAGGGGGACATCACAGCCGTGACAGGGACACCACCACTGTGACAAGGACATCGCCGCCCTGAGGGGACACCAGGGCTATGAGGGGACATCGCCGCCCTGAGGGGACCCTGCCGCCCTGAGGGGACATTGCCACCCTGAGGGAACATCATGGCTGTGAGGGGACACTGACGCCCTGAGGGGACATCACCGCTGTGAGGGGACATCGCTGCCCTGAGGGGACACTGCCGCCGTGAGCGGACACCCCGCCGCGCAGGACGGCGCCCGCAGCTCCCGGGGCGGACGACAAGGGGCCTAAGCGAAGCCGCGAACCTCCACTTGCGCTCCAGGCGCGGAGACCCAAGCCCCAAGCCCCGACCCCCGACCCCCGACCCCCGGCTCCAGCGCGGCCTCACCCTCGGCGGCGGCGGCGCTCCGGCTCCGCCCCGGGTCCAGGAGAACAAGCGGCGACGACCAGTTGCCTGAGACTGCGCTCCGGGAACGCGACCCCTGGGCGCAGCCCTCCGCGCCCTTGGACCGACGCCGCCGCCAGGGGTTCTGGGAGCTCGCGCGAGACGCCCCCAGCCTGCACCGGGCGGGCGGAGGGCCCCGACCAGGGGGGAGGGCGCCGGGAGTCTGGAGGGTCCGCGGGGCCGGAACGTGCTTCCGGGTCCCGCGCGGCCGGTCCCGCCCCGTGGGCCCAGCGGCCGCGGCCTGTGCTCAGGCTCCACCGACCGTTTCTGAAGCGTTGCTGGCTCTAGGCGCCTCCCGGGCCGCGGCCAAGCCGTCCGACGGGCCCTAGTGAACCTAAGGGACCTGGACGCAGGCCGCGGCCCGACGGGGCGGGAAAGCCGCCGACCGAAGCTTCGCCGGCCGCGCGGGGAGCCCTCCGACGTGGCCCCCGCACGGTTCCTGCGCCCGGCCCGCCCCACGGGACGCGGCCTCGGCCTGGACCCGGATCCCGGGACGGTCAGGAGCGAGTTCCAGCGGAGCCTCCCGACGCGGGCAGCCCGTGCCGGAGCCCTTTCGAGGGCGGCCCCTGCCCCGCCCCCAGCGGAGCTGGGTCCTCGTGCGGGTTCGGGGTTCGGGCCGCGCTGTGGCCGCTGAGTTAGCGCGGGAGGCCGCGGCCCACAAACGCGCGCTCGTGACGGCTCGCCGCGGGCATCCGCGCGCCACCGTTCGAGGACCGCTAGACCCGACGTGGCTGCAACGGCGCTCGTTTCTGTCGGAGCGCTCCCTCCAAACCCAACCGTGCGAAACTTTCTTTTTCTAAGAAAGTGTAGATAGGGAGTTTGGCTTCCAGGTAATCGGTGCCTCATTTCATGCATTTTGAAAACGAAATTGTGCTGGAAACGGTGCTCCCCACTGTATGGAGGCGCGAGCGGGCCTGGTGGTCAATGGGCGGGCTGTGCCGTGTGCCTCTGCTGTTGGTCGTCTGAGCCACACACAGCCCTGCCCTGCTGCCGCAGATCGCTGTTCGTGTCCCCAAAACTCATTCGCCGAGACCCAATCCACTGTGATGGCGTTTGGAGGCGGGGCCTTTGGGAGGTGAGTAGGTCAAGAGGGCCGAACCCAGCTGCGTTGGCCCCCTACACACGAGGCCCCAGAAAGCTGCTTCGCCCTCCTGCCGCGTGAGAACACTGATGGCAGATGGCTGCCTGTGAACCGGGCGGTGCGCTCTCACAGACGCCTGATCCTCCAGCCCGTGATCTTGGACTTCCAGCCTCCAGAGCTTGGGAACTAAATGTCTGTTGTTTGTAAGCCACCCAGTCTGTGGTGTCCTGTTCAGACAGCCCCGATGGACTCAGACGCCTGCCGAGCTGCTGCTTCACTCGGGCCTCACTCAGCGCAGCTCTCCTTGGATAGAAGCTGAATCTGTGGTCCTGGGTGAGCTGCCCCACAAGAGCATCTGTGGAGTCTTTGTAACGAATGGCCCACACAGAATCTCAGCAATCCCACACATATTTGTTTACAGAACCTTTATTTCACCAAGCATCTCATGGGATTAATGAGCTATCAAAAGTGGTACTGTCAGACATAGCCCTGAAGTGAATGAGGAAATAATTAAGCCTATAAACAGAGTTTTTTGCAACAAAAATGTTCAACACACTGTTGCTTATAATATAAAGAATTTGGAAATAATCCAAATTAGTCCAGCAGTAGAAAGTTGGTTAAATAAATTGTGGTATATTTATGTGAACAAATAGAAGACAACTATTAACATATTTCACAGAATATTTGTTGACCTGGAAAGATGCTTTTGATGAATAAAGTGAACAATGCAACATTAACAATTGTTCCTTGTTTAAAAAAACAAAAAGGCTCATGGTAACTGACAGAAGACCCCAGAAAGCAGACCCCTAAACTGGTAATAACAAATGCTGAAAAGAATCCTAATTTGCACTACAGAACTGGGAAACAGGGTGGAAGACACAGCTTTAGTTGGAGGTCTATTGAAGAAGCAATTAATATCCTCTCCAAGTCATTACAGCTGGGTGACTGTCCTCTACCCCAGCAAAACACTGAAGGTTTATTCTCTGGAGAGGGTAAGTGCATTAAAAACAAGAGGATTAAATGAAAATTTAAATGCTGCCCAAGCCCTCTTTCCCAGCAGGCTAGAAGCCTGACATACACTGTCCACAGAGGAGATTGCAAGATTCTCCTCTGGTCAATCTCACCAGCCAAAGAGAAAAGAGAAAAGATACTGACGTGAGGGGCTCCTGATCAGGTCCAATAATCACCCTGTGGGGAGGCCCATAGTTGACAAACTCCATCCACACACACAGAGCTCCAATCAGATTTTTTCTGCCCCATGTGGCAGACACCAAAAATCACCAGATGTTAGAAGAAGGATTCTCATGTTAAAGATGAGCCAAGAACAAACAAGAAAACCAAGCCTATAAAGGGAGAAGAAAACCAGCTGTGTTCTTGCATTAAAATTCTCAGAAAGAGAAAAAAATATTTGCATCCATGAAACAAGAACAGGCTATTTAAAAAAAAGAAAAGAAAATGAGAATAAGGTCAAGCTCTTGGACATTAAATATACGAAAAAATGACAAAGAGAAAGATAGAGGTGAAAAATATATGAAAATAAAGGACAGACCTGATCAACTAAATGATAGGAGTTCTAGAAAGAGAGGACAGAAAAAAATGGAGAGGAGGCTGTCATTAAATAAATAATTAATTGGATTTCTCCAAATTGAAGGACATGAGTTTCCTGATTAAAAGGACCTCTTGAGTGCCCAGAACAATGGTTGAAAATAAATCTACCTGAAGGAACGTTATTGTGAAATTTCAGAATATTGGTACAAATGGATTTTAACCACTTCTAAAGAAAAAGAAATTAGTGACCTAGAAAGGATCAAGAATCAAAACAGCTTCAGACTTTTCGACAGCAACTCTAAAGGTTGGAAGGCAATAGTAGCTAATATTTAGGGTAGACTTTTAACTGTATTGTACTATTTTAAGTGCTTTACTATTCATCCTCAAAACGGCCCTGTGAAATAGGGACTATTATTATCTCAGTTTTACAGATGAAAAATCTGAGGTACAAAGGGCAAAGTAACTTGCCTAAGTCACACAGGTAATAAACGGTAGAGCTGGGATTTGAACCAGGCAGTCTGGCTCCAGAGTCCATTCTCCTAACTGATGTATCATACTGAAGCAGTACCTTCAAAATTAAAAGGGAAAATTACATCCAACCCAGAGTGATGTATCTGCCCAAAATATCAGTAAGTGAGAAAATAAAGACATTTTTAGATATGCATCTTCTCATACACCCTTTCTTAAGGACAGATACTGTGTGATTCCACTTATATGAGGTAACTGGAATAGTTAAGTACATAGAAACTAGAGTGTTGGTTACCAGGGGCTGCAGGGAGGTGAGAATGGGGAGTTGTTCAAACAGAGTTTCAGTTTGGGATGATGAAAGAGTTCTAGAGATGGATAGTTGTGATGGTTGCATGATAATGTGAATATACTTAATGACACTGAATTGTACACTTAAAAATAGTTAAAATGGTAAATTTTATGTTATGTTTATCAAAAGAAACAAAAATCTGCTAGAGGAGAAAGTACGCCACCAAAACTAGGGAGTGAAGCAAGAAGGAGGAAAGTTGGGATTCAGGAAGCAAGAAAACCAACTCAAGAGCAAGGCAAAACAAAATTCAACCGAGTAATTTTGAAGCTCTAATTGGCCTTATTGGGTGATTCATGAATCAGGCAGCATCCCATCTAACAACTGGAAGGGCTCTCCAAGGGGTTGGAGAAATGGAAGCTTGTTATAGGAAGAGGGTGGGCAAGGGAACTATTAGCAAAAGAAAGAACAGGGACCGACCTGGTGGCATAGTGGTTAAGTTCGCACACTCTGCTTCGGAGGCCTAGGGTTCGTGGATTCATATCCCAGGCACAGACCTACATGTCCTCAAGCAAAAAGTGGAAGATTGGCAATAGGTGTTAGCACAGGGCCAATCTTCCTCACAAAAGAAAAAGGATTGTTTCAGGCCAGGACATCTTCTTTTTTGGGTAAGGGAACAGCAGGGTTTTATCATACAGATTTCCTCTTCTTTCTCTGTGGGATGGAGAGAGCCCACTGACAGATTACCTTACTGGTGTTGGTGCTGATCAGAAAATTCTAAACTTGTTGATTAAGATTACATCTTTGAGGAAGATTGAAACACTAATCAGGTCACGTTTTAGATCTAAGTTTGGTATCATGGGCTTTAGCACAAGTGACACCATTTTGGGTGTGTGGTTTTTCTCTTTAACCACACTAAATATTGATCTAACCAAAGTTATAATAGAATTGCATCAAGAAGATGAAGGTGTGAGTGGTGTGTACCAGGGTGGGCAAGTAACGATGAAAGCTAAATCCTTACACACCTTAATGGAAACCAATAGATAATGCCTAAAAGAGGAAAATCAAGAAGTGGCCTGGGAGTATGTGTTAAATACCAAAATAAACAACTGAAAGATTTAAAAGCAATTGCCTCCAAGAAGCAGAAAATTGAGGTGGCAGAGTGGTTTGGAAACTGCTATTTTTTGTGATAAACCTCATAGAATAAGTTTGGTAAAAAGCAACACTAATTTTTAAAAAAGAAGACCAACACAACTCTAAAGCTCCTCCGGATAGTCCAGAAAAGTCTGATACTGAACCTCTTAATCTCAAGTTTGTGTGCCCAGTGCCCAGCAAGCCAAACACTGAGACATCAGTGCTTAGGGATGGAGAAAGATTTATTCAAATTGGCCAAAATGAGTAGATGGGAGCCTGGGGTTCCTGCAAATCTGCCTCCCCAAGAACAGAAAGCAGGGGGGTTTATAGAGCTAGGGGGCTTGGCAGGAGGAGCTTCGGAGAAGCAAAGGGGTCACTACTGATAAGCCATCAGTGATAGCAACCTCCCCAAAGGCATTCTCTTTCTTCTGCAAAACAAGCTCACAAATCCTCCAGTTCCCTGAGTCACCGCTCAAGTTAAACAGGAAAAACAGCAAATTGGTTTAATATCTACAGTACCCCTCATGTACCTGGCTTCGAGTCTGCTTCTACCACCTTGTTTTCTCAAATCAAACTTACTTTTTCCCAAGCAGTAGTTTTCTGCATGGCTCCTCTATTCTTCTCTGCTCGTTTCACATTTTCTTGAAATAGGTTTTTGTGACCTAGCCTGGGGATTTAACCATTGTTTATATTATTTCTCTGGAGACATGTATTTCAAGTTCTAACCAAAGGACTTCCAAAAAAACTTTCAGAACTTCTGTTTATTAACTGGGGACTGTATTATCCATTCCCACAAGACTCTATAATACAACTGAAAAGACTTTTGAGAAAATTAGAGAATATAGCGACTGCACTCAACACTGTGCCAACTGTTTAGCACAGGCAAAGAGGAAGGGCAGGGTGAGTGTCTTCAGGCAGGGAAACTTCATCACAGAGGCTCAATTCGAGCTGAACCTGCACAGATGCATTGTAGCTTGTGTAGATGGCAGTATCGCTCAGGACTCTTAATGCAGTGACAGATACTCAACCCAACCTAGCTAAGCGAGACTCAGAAGTTTTTGGCTCACCTAACTAGGACGTCCCAAGGGGTCTGGCTTCAGGCAGAAACTGATTCTGGGTCCAAAAGTGTCTCTAATCTATCACCATCTCCATTGTCCTCATCTATAGCACCAGTCTCAGCTTCCAGCTCTGCAGTACAGGATGCTGATGAGGTGGGTGGGGAGGCATGTTGCTATACATCAAATGCCCCAGGGAAGATCCTGATTGGACCTCCCTGGGTTCAGGTGAATGGGTGCTATGATTGGCCAGGCCTGAGTTGCTGCCAGAAAAGGGAAGATGGGAATAAACTTCTGGGCTGCCAAAAATAATACCTATTAGATCCCAGTATAACTGTACATACCAAATCTGCTCTAGTGGAGATTTATTAGAGCCTGGGCCAATTGGCAGTGTAAGTAAAAATGCCTCATAAATGCTAAAGCACCATGAAATGTTGGTTGTGAGTCAGTGCTAAATGTAAGTCTGCACTGGCCCTGCCCAGCCAAACTGCAATTACTCCTGGGTCCTTAGCTTTCTGAATGTTTTAAGTTTTTCTTCCCTCCTAGCAGATTCATTTGTCACAGTTTCCCCGGGTATTGGCCTCTTTCTTCTAACAGAGTCTGCTTCCAACTGCAGTGAAAAATTTGCTCATGTCATTTTTCAAAGGAAGTCAGCAGGAAAAAAAATGTCCAAAGTTGGAATAGTTCGAAACTGAAAACATAATGGATGTATGTGTGTGATCAGACTGTTCTCAGCATCTTTCACTCTACCGTTTCTCTAATCTATTGAGTCACTTTCTTGGCCTCATTGCTCCAATCCTCAAATAAGCCAAAAATATTTTGCTGATACTAGCTGCAATTTATTGAGTGATAGGATATTTGTAATGTACTTTGAGACTGAACTTATAGCCCTGAAGATTAGGCAATTAATTAGTAGAGAAAGATTTTTGCCATCTAGAAAAAACAAATCAGATTAATTAACAGTCCATATTGGAATTTCCAATTTTTATAAGCCTACTTTGGACATCTGATTTTTAATTAGGTATGAGGTGTTCACTTACTGCTGACAACGTGAAGTAGGCTGATGGCTAAATTTGCTTCTGATAAACCTCTCACTGATGTCAACACTTGAATACCTAATGCTACATTGAACTTTCTATTTGAAGATCGTATGGATGAAAGCTAATTATCTGTGAGTCTGAGTTTTGCTAAAAAGACCTAAAGCCAGATCTTAGTAATATCTTCTGTAATGGGCATTAGCAAAATCTTAGTACATGGCCTCCACTTTGTTAGTGCAAAATTACCAGAACAAGACGTTATTGGATGACTATCCAAGGCCATTCTCAATCTACTTTTTCCTTGCCAGCTTCCCACTACAGAGACTGAAAATTCCAGGTATTCACTTTCCCAGCCTCCTCTTCAGGTAGCAGTGGCCATATGATCCAGTTAAAAGGCCAGCTGGGTGGAAGAGAGAGATGGCTGGGGGATTGGAGGGGATATTTTCCTACCATAGTAAAAGACAAGATGCATAGGAAGAGAGCCCTTTTGTTTCTGTCCTTCCTGCTGCCTTCCTGATTGGGTCACATTTGAGAATGTAATGTGTGGAGCTCTGGCAGCCATTTGTAACCATTGCTGAAACAGTGCATATGACAAAGCAGAAAAAGTCCTGGTCACTGGGGACATCACTGAGCCACTACACCAACTGAAATGGCCTGCCTTCCCATTTCATGTTAAGTGAAATTACAAATCTCCTACACTTCAGTTGTTGGACGTTCTATCACTTTTAACAAAAGACATGCTTTATCTTTAAATAATTCAAAGATGTGAATTATTTACCCAGCAACCATTCTATGCTCTCCCGTTCCTGGCTACACCCAGATTTTCACTTGTACGCCCATGTCCCTTTGAATCCCGGGTAGCCAGTGGAAGCAGAGTCTGGCCCCATTTCCAGAGTTGGTCATTGGTTGGCTTAAGTCAGTCAAGTCCACTCCCCTGGCCTTGAGTGGGGATTGATTCAAGGGTTATTGCCACTTAAGCTGTTCAACCAGGGTGAATCTTTGAATTCTTGCTTGGAATGCTAGAAAAGAAGTGCTCTCTTTCCTTCTCAGCTGCTCACATATGAAGCCTACAATGATACAGACATTTTGCCACCATGAAGTAGAAGAAGCAGATGCCACAAAAGGCAGAACCGAAAGACAGACAGAAACTAAGTCAGTAATGTCATCCAGGTCCTGGATCCCTAGTTTTGGATTTGCCATTAAATGAGCCCATAAATCTCCTCTATTAAAGTCAGCTTGAGTTGGATTTTCTGTTTTTTGCAACTTCGGAATGCATTCTGATGATATTCTTCCATCTGGACTGCCAGGCAACAGGCAAAGAGGATGATCAAATGGCAGCCTTTTAAGAGGCAAAAGCAACACACCACATCTCAGCTGCAGTAGGCAGTGCGTGTCCATCCATCCTTTTATTCACTGAAGGAAAAACGATGTATCCAACTGGCACATGTGCCCTTCCACTTACTGCACTGGGCTCTGGGCAAGCTACTTAACCTGTCTATGCCTTGGTTTCTGTGGATGTAAAATGGAGATGATAATAGTATCTGTCTCGTAGGGAGGCTCTGAGATTAGATGAGGTAATGCACATAAAGTGCCTCTAACAGAGCCTCTTCATAGTAAATGCTCTGCAGATGCTGGTTATTATGATCATCAGGAATCCCCAGTCAGCTAGGAAGCGTGCTGGAGAGGACCGATGTCTCCTGCCAAATCTTCCGAATGATTCTTGTACTAGACACCATCTTATTGTTGAACAGCCCACTCCTTCTTTTGGTCAAAAGAGAGCAAAATAAGATTCTTCCAGATTTCCAAGAAGGCTCTACAACTCTTTAGCTCACACACAGACCTCTTACAAAGCTCAGTTCTGCCTTTCAGAAGGGCCTG